GTCATGCCAATAATGTCATCAAATAAATAAATAAATATGTTGCATATACCAGTAAAATATCTGTTTTATATAAAATTTAATTTCTTATTGTTTTCTTTTGATTTTAGAGTAAAATACAATATGACTGCAGTATTCGCCCTTAATGACCAATTAAATCAAAATTAGAGTTGTGTAATTTACACTTTAATAATAATAAAAAACAATTATACTGTATATAGCTTTTCTCTTCTTGGAACTTACATCTATATCTTATATGCATGTGTTCTTGTTACACATGTTCCATATACTTACACTGTAAAATCTAATTAGATTGCCTTGAAAAAATGAAGTAAAGTGAAATAGGAATAGTATGTTGAACTGACAAATGCTTAGTTAGTATAGTTTACTTACACGAGAGTTCTGGTAACTAAAAAAGAACTGTAGGGGGTACTTGATCCTTTCATTTAGGTTTACTCATGACTTAGTATAGCTACTCACTGACTCCCAGAGTGCATTGCGGCATGAATAAATTATGCAGTTGCTTTGTTTTACATTTGTTGATTTTATTTGCCAATTTTATTTGCTGTCTTGTGTCAGTATAGCACAACAAAAAGAGCAAATAAAATGGTTATTGTTACAATTAATGAAAATAAATTAAATTGAATTGTTACCATTGTTGTGATTCACGTACTGAATGTTTAAGTGTGACTTTAGCATATCACCACACACTATTTAAGGATTATATAACCCAATTAAAAGCATCTCAAGGTATTTATGAAAAATTAAATTTGAAGAAGTTCTTAAGTAAACACACACAAATATACACTAATGATTTAATTAGAAGATAGGTCACCGACTAAAAGAAGCCTATTTATTACTTTTCTTCCCTTATAATCAAATAACTCTGACTTCGTGATGTATTGTTGCGTTAACAGGAAGAAAATTGTAGTAACATAAATGAAGTTCCAAGTGCCCAACCAAAGGGAACGCTAATCACTATAATGGTGAGTAAAAAAAAACACATTTTAGGAAAATCAACATCAATTTATGAAGTTAGCTTATGTGATGTTCTCTCAAATATTTCAGTTGAATTGAAAAGTCAACATTCAAGATGACTTTGGGAAATGAGTGAATGCAACTAGTGAAAGATAACTGCAGACATGGAGGAAATGGGTGAAAAGTCTATTAAGACTCTTTTTCTTTTCTTTTTCTTCTGTTGTTATGTTGCACATTAGCAACATATTAGTACACTGCTGCCTCTCACTGGTTTATTAATGTCATAGATTTCTTTGTGGCAACTTGAATATTTGAAGTAAGTGTCACTCAAAACAGTAAGTAAATTGTTTCATTTGCCTTGAAAGTAGCTGTAACTTAATAAAACCTAGTAAGTATAACAACTAAGTAAAGATAACTAATTAAATCTAAGTAAGGTGAACTATTGGATTTTACAGTGTACTATTATAATAACAATAAATTATGCATAATTACATGCAAGTAACCTTATGCCAAAACCTAATCCTAACCCTACCTATATAGTAAGTACATGTAGTTAATTCATATTACTCAGTTATTACTCACTTTAAAATAAAGTGTAACCGCATGTACTGTGGTACTGTACATTTACAAAATTATGTAATTTAAAAAAAAATATGATAAAACAGGCAATATCATGTACTGTAGCAAATTCAATACAAGTTCATTCAAATTCGTTGGTGTGCTGCTCATGCTTATTTATTTATTGATTAGAGAGTTTCCTTCCTAACCTTCTATTGATTGTGAGGAAAGGGGATTTGTGGTTTTGCCAAGCTGTGACGTAAACTAAAAGCTACTGGCTGTTTTCAAACGAGACAAACTCTTCAGTATGTTCCCAACTTACTGTTTCAAAATATGTAAACGCTAGAAAGAAAACTGCACTTGTCAAACCATTTTATATTTTTGTTGTTGACATTTTACATCTGTATTGAATGATTTCATCAATGCGGGACAATGTGGAATTCTTTCTTAAAACAGATGTTTTTGAATTGATCACAAATTTATATTTATTGCCGTCAGTGTCGACAATCGAACCCATCATCTTGGCATTGCTAGCGTGACACTCTATTGTTGAGCTTCAAGGACGCGCATAACTATAAAAAATGCCCCATCAAATGATTACAAATTGTGATATCCTGTGTGTGTTTGTGAGCGAAATAGGAAACAGTTATTCACACACATAGGAATCCCTCTGATATCTCAGTCAGATGATGTTCTTCAAGGCCAGTGTCTCTGTACATCTGGATGATGCTGATATATTCATGTGACACACGCTGCCCCAGTTCATTCAGTCATCTCCTCACTTCAGCCTGTCTGATCGAACCGTTCGCCGTACACCCAAACAACTGTGAACACAAATCTTAAACACACAAAACCCCAGACAACATTTCCTAGGTGGGGGCATTGAGTAGGCTAATGGGTGTTTTGTGCATGCAAATCATTACCTTTAAAGCAAAAGACAAAATAATCTCCTCTTCTCTCCTCTCCTCCTAAATTAGGCCATAACTGAGTGTTGCACACTGCCACATAAGAGCTGTCGCCCCGGAAACCAGAGATGCCCCACAGCACTCTGGGAGTATGACTGTCACACTCACTCAGCACAGCAATTAGGGCCCACACACACACACACGCATACCCAAATTGTAACACACACTTAACATACCTGCATCTATACACAAATATACACAAATGCCAAGAGACCAATCCTGTACAATATTCCACTGTCTGACAGCTTGAAAAGTAAGAGGCAAAACACACACACACGCACTCGCGCGCACACACCTGAGTCAGTCAGACTGTCGATTGTCTTATAATGATTTTGTGAAGCTAAGGTTGGAAACTTAAAAAGCTGAAGTATGTGTTTGTGTGCATTTTAAGTGCCCCATGGGTTTGGACTGGAAGGTTTCCATGGTTACCCGTTGAGGGAGATATAACTGCGCGATATAACTTGTGTGTGTTTGTACATGTGTCAGTTGTGTTTTGTGTGTGTGCTTGTATTTCTATAGGGTGTAATAATCATGAAATATGACAGAGATGTCATGTGGTGGTCATCCGTGTGTGTGTGTGTGTGTGCATGTGTTCCTGCCAAGCAGGATTTGTCAGAACTGTCTTTTCCTCAGTTTTTTTTTTGTGCCAGAATTCGTAAAAATATGATAAAACAGGCAATATCATGTACTGTAGCAAATTCAATACAAGTTCATTCAAATTCGTTGGTGTGCTGCTCATGCTTATTTATTTATTGATTAGAGAGTTTCCTTCCTAACCTTCTATTGATTGTGAGGAAAGGGGATTTGTGGTTTTGCCAAGCTGTGACGTAAACTAAAAGCTACTGGCTGTTTTCAAACGAGACAAACTCTTCAGTATGTTCCCAACTTACTGTTTCAAAATATGTAAACGCTAGAAAGAAAACTGCACTTGTCAAACCATTTTATATTTTTGTTGTTGACATTTTACATCTGTATTGAATGATTTCATCAATGCGGGACAATGTGGAATTCTTTCTTAAAACAGATGTTTTTGAATTGATCACAAATTTATATTTATTGCCGTCAGTGTCGACAATCGAACCCATCATCTTGGCATTGCTAGCGTGACACTCTATTGTTGAGCTTCAAGGACGCGCATAACTATAAAAAATGCCCCATCAAATGATTACAAATTGTGATATCCTGTGTGTGTTTGTGAGCGAAATAGGAAACAGTTATTCACACACATAGGAATCCCTCTGATATCTCAGTCAGATGATGTTCTTCAAGGCCAGTGTCTCTGTACATCTGGATGATGCTGATATATTCATGTGACACACGCTGCCCCAGTTCATTCAGTCATCTCCTCACTTCAGCCTGTCTGATCGAACCGTTCGCCGTACACCCAAACAACTGTGAACACAAATCTTAAACACACAAAACCCCAGACAACATTTCCTAGGTGGGGGCATTGAGTAGGCTAATGGGTGTTTTGTGCATGCAAATCATTACCTTTAAAGCAAAAGACAAAATAATCTCCTCTTCTCTCCTCTCCTCCTAAATTAGGCCATAACTGAGTGTTGCACACTGCCACATAAGAGCTGTCGCCCCGGAAACCAGAGATGCCCCACAGCACTCTGGGAGTATGACTGTCACACTCACTCAGCACAGCAATTAGGGCCCACACACACACACACGCATACCCAAATTGTAACACACACTTAACATACCTGCATCTATACACAAATATACACAAATGCCAAGAGACCAATCCTGTACAATATTCCACTGTCTGACAGCTTGAAAAGTAAGAGGCAAAACACACACACACACGCACTCGCGCGCACACACCTGAGTCAGTCAGACTGTCGATTGTCTTATAATGATTTTGTGAAGCTAAGGTTGGAAACTTAAAAAGCTGAAGTATGTGTTTGTGTGCATTTTAAGTGCCCCATGGGTTTGGACTGGAAGGTTTCCATGGTTACCCGTTGAGGGAGATATAACTGCGCGATATAACTTGTGTGTGTTTGTACATGTGTCAGTTGTGTTTTGTGTGTGTGCTTGTATTTCTATAGGGTGTAATAATCATGAAATATGACAGAGATGTCATGTGGTGGTCATCCGTGTGTGTGTGTGTGTGTGCGTGTGTTCCTGCCAAACAGGATTTGTCAGAACTGTCTTTTCCTCAGTTTTTTTTTTTGTGCCAGAATTCGTTCTGCTCTGTATTTTCAGCCTTACATGTACATACGACCTACATAAGAATTACATTTGAACAACAGCATGTGTTCCTGCTCTTTGGGGAGCCCGCATTTTGAGTCTTTCAGCTTGATTGAGATTGTTGAGTAAAAGTATCTTTTTTCTTTCACTTGATGAAAATGGTATTTTAGGGCTCATTAATTTTTATCGTACATATTGAACGAGTACATACGGTTCATATTCCTAATGTCAGACTGATATTGATTGAACTGCACTAATAGCCTTGCTTTTTCTGTCTGCATGTATCGTTCTCTCTTTCTCTCTCAGGTGTAACAACCGAACTCAGTGTGCAGTCGTCGCTGGCCCTGATGTTTTTCCTGACCCGTGTCCTGGGACGTACAAATACCTTGAGATTCAGTACGAGTGTGTGCCATACAGTAAGTTCTCACACACATACAGATTTAAATTAAGCTTTGTTCAGTATTGCTATTGCTATTGCTCATACTTAGGGATTTGAACTAACTTCTAACTTTTAAGTATTAAACTTTGGTGTATAATTCATTTTTTTGTGCTACAGGCTATAGACATGAATTATATGTAAAATTGTGTAGCTTGTTGAGAAGAGGTGTGCTATTACTTCTAAAAGATCCATGAATGCGTCAGACTTAAATGAATATTCTGGGTTTAATACAAGTTAATACAATCGACAGCATTTGTGGCATAGTGTTGCCATAGTGTTACCACAGAAATGATTTGCCCTCAAGGCTGTAGTGAAATAAAATGCATTTTTTTTAAGATTTACAAGCAGAAATGTAAAGCTTATAATTTAATGAAAGCACCTGCCTCAATTCTTTTTATGTGTATTCTTTGACCAGCAAAGTTTTTTTTTTTTTTTTCATTTTTATGGCTGTTAGGTTTTTAAAGAAAGTGAAAAATAAAAAATAAAGTTTTAAAATGGGATAAAACATTGTTTATGCCCTGTGGCTATACATTTAAAACAGTCAGTATTTCAACATTTACAAATGGATCACATTCACTTCCATTGTACTGCAAGTTCTTTGCTATAACCCAGATTTTTTTTGTTTTGTTTAAAAAAAAAAGCTAAATCAAGTTATAATTTGTATAATGTTACCCTTTCAGCATTTCTTTTTAAATTAAGGCATTACTACTTATTAAACTTTTCACTAATGTAGTAAATATGTACAGTGGGGCAAAAAAGTATTTAGTCAGCCACCAATTGTGTTGATTACCACAGAAAATGATTTAGCTTTGTCACTTGTTTTTCTTTTAAATAGCATAAATTGCGGTTATAGAAAGACAGAAGATTCAATTTTTTACATTAATTATTCAGTAAAAGCCTGTTAATTATTTGAATTGTTCTTTGTGAGGCAGAAATACTTTTCTTGGTAGATGAAAGTTATGCCTTACTGATGTAACTCCATTGTGATTTCTGTAAACATTTTTTTACAGAAAGTTACGTCATGTCCCTTTCTGGTATTATTGCACGTATGGTGTGATATTTGCCAGGTTTACTGGCTTTACTGAGGTTAAGCCATCATGACAAATTGGTTGAAATATTGGATATAACTTTAGCCAGATGGCCAGTACACGAGTCCCATGCCAACACATATAATGTGTGGCTGTACTTCAGTCTTTTTTTTTTTTGCCTGGCCCTCAGTACTTTGTAAGTGCCTTATTGTACCTGCAGTTTTTGGTGTTCTTTCGGTGCTTTTTTTAAAGAAACTGTGGTAATAGACTTTAATAATGAACATTACACCTCAAATAATATCGATAGAGCTTAAACATTCAAGGCAGGGGCATTTTCTGAAATTTGGCCCTCTCAAGTACAGAAAAACAAGTGCACTCACATCTACTCAGACAAAGAGCCTCAAGAGCCTAATGACTCCATTAGTTCAGGTCACTGTCAAATTAGCATTGCAGTGATTGCTACCTGGCACCTCATTCAGATCTGTCACCAAATATGAACTTGTACCTGACAGAAAAATGCATATGAATGTACTTCTGTTGCATTTATCCGCTGTTGTCCGACCTCGTCCCTTGCCATGACTCACGGGAAAAAAGCCTGTCAATCATCCGAGGGTTGAGCGATGTGGTTTCAAGTTCTCACGGTTTCTGTGGGGTTGGTGTTCCAGTCTGGGGTGGCCATGGCAACGGTGATGATAAATCAGTATCGTATGACTGCGGCACCGGCAGCAGGAAAAGCCTGAATACACTTACACACTTTGTCTCTCCTACACATTCACATACACACTCATACTGATTCACAAATGGGTGGAATAGCAGAGACATGGTGGAATTTCTTGAACAGAGCTAAATGACACAAAGGACAGACAGGCAGGATGCACACACGGTTCTTTTTGACCTTTTGACCATAAATCATCCTGCGCATACGGGTCATGAAGTGTGTGTGAGTGCTCATAAGTGCATACATGTGTGTTTGTGACCATCTGGTCAAAAAAGGCCTAAAACATTTTTTCCACAGGCCCACTAATTAGTGGGGAGGTCCATCATATGTACGGACATGCACACAAACAGTCTCACATGCACACACACAGGCAGGTAATTTAATTAGTTCAGTCTTAGAAACCCATGGGAACATGTTCCAAATGTTTTCTTGAGGTTTTTCTGGCTTTCTCTTCTCCCCTGTGATGGAGGAGATGGCAGAACTCCAGTCAACCTTTCTGCTTTGGCCTCAATATGGGACGACTGTTTTACCTACACTCTAAAAAACTTCACCTCATATATTGTTGATATTCAGTACCTACTCCTTAGATCTGTGTGATTAACTACTGTCTTTATGGAGCGAATAAAGTAGGTTGTATTGTATTGCACAAATGTTCGTATTGCACTACATGTTACTGTTTTTGCACTACTCATAATGGCAGATATAGTGCAGAAGTATGTGAAATGTTTTTGGCACTATCTTATCTGTTTAAAATTCTTTGCCAGCCCAGCATAGCAACACTGGCTCAGCCAATAGCGTGAATTTGGGGAGGGGCTATCTGTTTGACTGACCAATGACTGACTGGGGGTGTTTTGGAAACCTGTTTGAAAACAATCAGTATTTTTGCAGTTCTGTTTGATGCATGAAATGGAAATAAATGCATATTATTGATATTTTTGTGCACAATTTATCTGTGCATGCATTTAATTTTTCCTTTTTTTGATGCAAGCTTGCATTCAGATCTGCTACCATCTAATCAACAAACGATGGAAAGAACTATGTCCCTGACCTACATTTTTTTTATTTAATTTTTTGATAATCTGTTTCAAACTGTTTTAAACATAGAGTAGAAATATGTAGCATCACCCACATCGGCCTGTCAGTTGTGATGGATAGGGTACTAGTGGAGGAAGTCGTAACCTCCCAGTGGGCCTAGATGCATCACTTCTTTATACACTATAACTGACAGCCAATGACTATCTGTTATTGATCCTTTTACAATGTGACTGAAACTCGACTAGGTGTGTGTGTGGGAGACAGAATTGCTTCTAAATCAGATCTCCTGGAACCTCATTCACACACACACTCACACAGTCTCTCTCTTGTGTGGTGGCTTATTTATTGAGTGATGCATTAACAGTTCATCCTCATGCATATTTCATAGAGAAGTACACACACACACACACACACACTCACACACACAAAGAAACATAAATTGTAGTAACGGTGTAGATTGTATATATTTTTCAAGGCAAGTCAAGCTCTTAGTGTCATTGCATGATTACAATGAAATTATTTTAGTATAATTTCATTGTAATCATGCAATGACACTAAGAGCTTGACCACTGCTGTCCACTGCTGGTTGCATAATATTTAAAATAAGTATAAAAGTGTATGTAAATAGAAATTTTTGCAAAGGTAGAAACATACAAAATTGTTATTAAAACGGCGGTAAATTAAAGTGAGAAACAGATCATTTGAACTATGTAATTTTCACATTACTATCGTCACAAATGTAACTGCAAAAATACTAGTTGTTTTCAAACTTTTTTTTGCCCCTGACTCACAATGATATTGTGTCAGGCTACAATTTTTAATATAAAAATGAAAAAGTTCAGCTTTAAAATGGGTGTAAAACCAAATTGGAGTTAACCATATATCTTATACGAAATAAGTGAATAAATAATGGTACACATTAAATCTGTGTCTTTTATCCATTAGTCAAGAAGGCTGGCCAAGAAAGCTGGTCTGTATCACAATACTCAAGGAACATGAACAATTTTTGTGAAACAAACCCTATTTCTTTCTCTTTTTTGTATTCTGTCTCAGGTTTGTTTTTATAGATTCATTTTTCTGGTTAATAGTCTAATATCACACTATATTTGTTTTCAAAAATTATGATCACTTTGTTAATGGAATTTCTAGAATACAAATGAAGCACATTTTACTACTTTCACAAGATTGGGTTAAGACACGACGTGCATTACATGCATATGGAATTGAATTACTGTGAAGTATTTAATATTGCATCATTAATCTGTTGTTTCTTTCGCTCTCTTTCTCTCTTCTTCCACCCTTTTGTGAATGCAGAAGTGGAACAGAGAGGTAGGTCCATTACTTCCATTACTTTAATGTAATTTAAGTGTGTAATTCACTGTCAGGCTATTATGGGGTTATTTGATACTAATGACAGATTGGCGATCAGTAGCTCATAATGGTTTATATTAAGAATGCGGAGGAGAAACTTGATCTCAGACCAAGGCTTTACTCCCTGAATTAGACCTCTATTTCTCACTGTCTCCTCTCTCTTGATCTGTCTCAGTGTATCTGGTGGTTTACCATGTATCAGATGAACAGGGAGGTGTTGCCACTGTTTAAAACTTAAGCTGCCGATTGTGCTGACCACAAGAAGCGGCAGTGTGAAACTGATGTCTTGCAATGTTTTGTCTCTTGAATGGCCTGGGGGCAATCTAGACCATCAGACCTTAACATAATAACTTAATTTTCTGCATAGCTAGAGATGACGCATGAACAGTTATCAAATTTATCAAATGGCGAGAACACTCAAATTGTGAATTGGCATTTTGAAATTGGAGCTTTTTGTGTCAGTTTGCCTTGATTTGAAATAGAATGACATGCATATTAAAAAGCAAATTTTAAATTGACAATAACAGAAAAATAGCAGTAAATTTTTACTGTGTATTCAGTTAGGAGCCTCTCAAGGTTTTTCTCCAATACCAAAACACAGTCACCACAGGCTTCTTGTTTGTAATTTTTGAAACATATTTTTTTCTGTAAAGCTGCTTTGAAAAGAAATGCATTGTAAAATGCACCATACAGATGAACATGAATTGAATGCTTGAGTATGAATTTAGAAATCAGAATGGCAAAAATAAAAGGATGTATAGGCTACCAAAACATTTGAAAGTAAAAAGTAATGAAAAATAAAAAAATGAATAAACACAAATATACTTGAGTTTATCAAAGGCCAAGAAAAGTTCCGGAATGAAGTCATATTGTGGAAAATTAATGCATCTAAAACAATAAAAGGAAACATCCAGTAACTGTTAAAATACCAGACACACTTCCCATGAGGATGTCCCTCATTCTGGGAACGGAATGGTGGGAAAGGGCCGATACTGTGGCAGGCATTCCGTGTGACTGTTTGTGCGCTCACTTCTCTGTTTGTGTGTGACCATGTAAGTCTATCTGCATGGTTTGCAGGAGTATCATTATAAATCAAAGAGAATGAAAACACACACACACACACACACACACACACACACAGAGGGTTTAATCACAAGACTGTACATTTGTAAGATATGCATGACAGGCCTGCTGTAGGGATGGTGGCTAACCCTGACTTTAAGCCAGTCTCAACTGTGTTTATTGGTCATTGATTTTTCACAGTGCTTCAAATTGTAATTTGAATTACTCCCAGAAATTTTCCCAGGGTTAGAAAATACTGTTACTGTTTTTGCCAGCAATGTATTGTGGGTAAGTTCATGCAATAGAATGTTAGTATTACAAGCTGTAATTCTGGAGGACAAATTAAAGTTGATTTGCACAAGGCTTAACAGTTGATTATTTTCGTCTTCACATTTAATGTACCAGGAATAATAGGGTGATGATTCTTAACCACCCCCCCACATATATGTTCGCACCGTGTGAATTTTCCTCAGGATTAGAGAAGTCGGTGAGGCAGATTTTCAGAACCTCCTAAGGGATTCTGCAGGAGTCACAAACTATAAATCGGGTTACTAGTCATCAGATATGATTTAATAGATGTCTCTCTCTCTCTCAGGCTCAAAGCATGTAGCTTTCTGATAACTTTGGTTGCAGACCATTGCAGTTGTTAGTGTGCAATATGGATAAATGACATACAAGAGTGTTTACAATAGAGAAAAGAAGAAATCTTTTTTAAAAATCTAGTTAAAAAAATGCACATGCCAAGTCCTTAGAAATGCTCTTTCTATTCATGTTGGTTTTATGTAGTTTTGTGTCATGTGATATAACTATCGAGTAAAAAAAAGCTTATAGCTTCGGAATATTCAGTATTTTCCGAAAAAATTCAATATATTCCAATCTAAAAAGTACAAATGTTTACAAATATCATGAATTATTCATTCATACATATGACTGGAAAGTCACACCACATGACATTTTACAGTCTGATCTAATCTTGCCTTGTTATAAAAAGGTAAAATTAAGAAACATATTGGCTTTGACAGTCGTGAGTCTGCATGGACCCTTTTTTTGTTGCATATTTCTGCTTGTTGGTTGCACCACATGATGTTTTTTGGTTGCACCACATGACTTTGATTTAGTGAACATTTTTTCAAAGACATCATAAAAGATTACTTCAAAGTACTTAATAAGGACTTCTTTCTAGTATTTTCTTTCTTTTAAATAGACTTTTCTTCATTACATCAGGGCAATTGTATTACCCTGACATTTTTGGCTTTGTGGCCTCAAAATGGATTTTAATTCAGAAATTAAAACGTGATTCTCATAATAGAGAGTACAAAAGGCCATTGTATGTGTGAACTGCAATATATGTATTTTTCCAACTAATAACAATTTTTATAACTGTATATGACTAATAGATAAGAGAAAAAATGTATTGAATTATATTTTTAAAAATCACTGCAATTCACTCCCTCTTCCTCTTTCAGTCTTTCTCTGTCCAGGTGTATTGAGAGGTGTGTACCAGAGTGAACACCTCTTTGAGTCAGACCACCAGTCTGGATCATGGTGTAAAGACCCCCTACAGTCATCTAACAAGATCTACTATATGCCCTGGACTCCATACCGCACAGATACACTGACTGAGTACTCATCTAAGGAGGACTTTATTGCAGGTCGACCCACCACGACATACAAACTACCCCATCGTGTGGACGGCACCGGGTTTGTGGTGTATGATGGTGCACTTTTCTTCAACAAGGAGCGTACACGCAACATTGTTAAATTCGACCTGCGAACTCGTATTAAGAGTGGTGAGGCGATTATTGCTAACGCTAACTACCACGACACCTCGCCATATCGCTGGGGTGGGAAATCTGACATCGATTTGGCAGTGGATGAAAATGGACTGTGGGTAATCTATGCCACTGAACAGAACAATGGACGAATTGTGGTGAGTCAGCTCAACCCATACACACTACGAGTGGAGGGATCATGGGATACGTCATACGATAAGCGATCGGCCTCAAATGCCTTTATGATCTGCGGAATCCTGTACGTAGTGAAGAGCGTTTACGAAGATGACGATAATGAAGCGTTGGGGAATAAAATTGACTACATGTACAACACAGAGAAGAGCCGTGAAACACACCTCAGCTTTCCATTCCCAAATTCCTACCAATATATCGCAGCTGTGGACTACAATCCTCGAGACAATTTGCTGTACGTGTGGAACAACTACCATGTTGTCATATATTCTCTCGACTTCGGGAACAATGACAACAGATTGGGCTTTGGTGAGTTTCCCTTTAATTCAAGTACATTTTGTCTAATGTGTTATTTTTAATCCACTTGTAACTGAGCCACATATAGCATTTAAAGGGTTAGTTCACCCAAAAATGAAAATTGGCTTGTGTTTTACTCACCCTCGAAGCGTCCTAGGTGTATATGACTTTCTTCTTTCAGACAAATCCAGTCGGAGTTATATTAAAAATTGTCCTGGCTATTCCAAGCTCTATCATTGCAGTCAGCGGGTGTTGCAGTTGAACAGTCCACAAGTTGTCAAATAAAGCTAGCGCACTCATAATAAAACGTGCCTCACACAGATCCGGGGGGTAAATAAAGGCCTTCTGTAGTGAATCCATGCATAAGAAAAATATCCATATTTTTGTAAGAAAAATATCCATATTTCAAACGTAATAAACGCTTTTGCGAGCGTGCGCGCGCCTCTGAGATATGCTAGTCTCGCGAGTTTGTTTATCGGAGCAAAGGAAGCAAAGTTTCCTTACTTTAGCAAAGGAAAACCAGTCTCCTCTTGGCTTATATCGAAATCCTCCGACATTTTTCTTTGCAAATCTTCGGTTTGTTCTTCTAATTCGTGACCGGCATTTTGTTTTGTTGTCTCTCCGCATTCGTCACTAATCAAGCAACGCCGACGTGCTACAACATCCGCCGGAACGGCTTCCGCATATGACAGTTGGTGGAAGAGATATAAAAGTGTTTATTACATTTGAAATATGGATATTTTTCTTACAAAAACACATGGATTCACTACAGAAGACCTTTATTCACCCCCCCGGAGCTGTGTGAAGCACGTTTTATTATGAATGCGCGCGCTTTATTTGACGACTTGTGGACTGTTCAACTGCAACACCCGCTGACTGCAATGATAGAGCTTGGAATAGCCAGGACAATTTTTAATATACCTCCGACTGGATTCGTCTGAAAGAAGAAAGTCATATACACCTAGGATGCTTCGAGGGTGAGTAAAACACAAGCCAATTTTCATTTTTGGGTGAACTAACTCTTTAATAACATTTAAAAATTATTTTACATTTGTGAAAGTATTTTGTGATCTTAGATGTTTTTACACCTAATTTGTTTGAGCACTCCAAGCTTTTTCAGGATGATTTGATTGTTTTGTACAATGTCGCCTTTTACTTCACTTAGAACAGCTTTGAGATCAAGTGAAGCTGGTTCCCTTTCTGGTGACAACAGCCTTAGTTATTGATGCTTGTGTTGATTGCTTGGATTAATATGGTTTCATTACTGTAGCCACAGCCACTGTACAGTAATTAGTTTAAACTGACACACTTAGCTACCAGACTTTAATGTTTAAAGACTATATATAAAAACAAAAAGGTGTTTAAATGAACAATTAACATTAAATTAAATTAACATTAAAATGATTTATTCTCAATGAATTCATGATAAATTACCAGAAATTGTAAAAGCATGATAAAAGTAGTCCATATATTTTGTGTGCTATAGTATATCTCATGTCTTTGGAAGTACTACAATAGTTTTTGTGGAACAGGATCAGACCAAAACTTACACTATGATGTTCCCTTCCAGTGACTTGTTTAATCAAGAACTGCTGCAACCACTGAATCTGCTGACTTTTAAATGTGTGAACAGGACCAGTGAGCATATAGTTCTGTTGAGCAGTTTGTTTTTAGAGAACCAACTGATCTACATTAGTTCAATGTCCAGACTGATCATTTGTTCACCAAACAGACTGATTCATTTGTAAGAGCTTACCAAAGGCAAATACACTTGGAAAATAGACCTTGTGCTATGTTCCAAGTATTACTTAAGATACTTGGAATATAGCACAAGGTCTACTTTTGTTGTGATTTTTTTCATCATTTTTTATTTTATTTTTGGGTGGCAAGGGTGAGTAAATAATGAAGGATTTTTTATTTTTTTTTGAGTGAGCTGCCACTCTAAGTATGTGCCCACAGAGTCAGAGTTTAAGTATTGTACTACTCTGTGATTGTCAGTTACAAATCTACTTTGAAGAAGTAAACTGGCAGAGTTAGAAAGCCCTGTCATTTTCGCTCACTCATACAAGTATTCATATCAATGATAAAAGAGACCTTCCGGATTTTTCCCCTGACATACATTTTCAGAGAATGTTATTGTATAGGTTATCACAGTCCATTAGTCAGGTTGTTTTTCACTTTGTTTTATTCCTTCTTCACATTTAGAGTTCAGGCACACTACTTATGCTGTATTGTATTGCAATTTTAGTCAGCTTGCCAGCTCAGCTGAAATGCAGCTGAATTAATCATTATCTACAGTGTAAACTAACAGTTATTATCTCCAGCATCTACTGACATCCCCATTAGAACAGAGCAGAGTGTATCTCTTTGCTCTTAACTGGGTCCAAATTGAGCATATTGTATGAGATTTGCTTAATAAATTGTGAATAGATTCTCACATGCACTGCCAGTTTATTACAGAACAGCTCACACAACAAGCAAATACTAAATACAACTAATAAAATTTTTATCTCTGAATAATTATGTTTCTAAACCCACACACTGATTTGTGTACTTCATTTTCAAAACAAATCTCAAAAAGTGTAAATAGCTTCTTTTTTATATAGACCTCATTTGCAGGTGCAATATATGTAGGTGCTTGTTAATGACCCTGCCTGCATTAATTTTCTTTATTAACCTACTCCACATCAAAGATCTTGTAAAGCTTGAGTTAGAGCAGGAGTGTTAGCCACCTAAACTAATGCAGATCAGACGCTGTCTAGTGATCATATCAAAGAGAATATTGCTATAACAACACCATCTTTGTGTAGTTCAGCTTTTAATTACATTTTATCTTGGTTTAATTAGTTTTTCATTTTGTCTGCATGTCAGCTTTGAACGAGAAAAACAACTACATTCTGTCAATACAGCAGAGGAGAGAATGGTCTGGAAATAGAGGCTTGGTGCAAGACTTAACTCATTTAGAACGGCACGATTCTAAATATCTTAATAGATTAACAATCATGATTATTTGCTTAAAGTAGAGATCACGATTCTAAAGAAAAATGTTTCTTTCTGACAAAATGTTTCTAATAAAAAATGCAATAAACAAGTTAGAAGTACAGGTATGTGAATGAAAATATGGAAACATGTCCATATCAAAAACATACATTTAAATGACATTTTCTAGACCGTCTTAAAGAAAAACATAAACACTTGGAAAAAGACAAATTAACATTATTGATGTTTCAAAATTGGTTTTTGTATGTAGAACATTCACAACTTATATGGACTGCACCACTGTCACATGGGTGTTTTAATTGATATCTTTTGACCCCTATTTTTTGTTTGTTGCCACAAAATTGGAGTGCCTTACCAAATGTATTCTTAGCCATTAATTCCCAACAAATACTATAGTTACTAGAGTTATTGTTACTACAATGAAACTGTAGTAACTTGGTATTATCGTAAGTCCCTGTTGTAGCATGTTGGTTCACTCTGCAGTCATTGTGTCAATGCCCCAGGGCAGCTATTTTCAAGTCACGCAAGCACACCTCCAATATACTGAAAAGCGAAAAGAATTAAATGTCAAAAACTATGTGCCATTTCAATAACATATGTCAGTTTAACAATAAAAAACTGACAGCAATTTTTAAATCAGCCTGCAAAAAATGTTTTTTTTAGGTTTGCACAACTCAATGACAATAAGCCAATTACATATTTTTATTGAAAGTCAGGACTTTTTCTACAGCCGCCATATTGAGAACTTTGGTTTAAGTAGATTTTTAAAATGTCTACCTCTCTTTGATGCAGAATGCATGCAGAATTCATTTCTTATGGTTTCACTTTTAATTTGAAGTTAGTATTATTAATAATTACTAGTTAGTATTATTAAGTCTGCACAAAAAATAAAATGAAAATCTACACTGAAAAAAATAACTATTTGAATTTAAAACTATAATTTTCATGTGCAAGTCAGAGTGCTAGCATATTGAGTACTACAGTTTTATTAGCTGATATACAGTAGTTTCATCAACTATAAATAGATGATTGGCCTAAGTTTTGTATGTGTGCTGCATGTTCCTGAACAAAGTATGTTTCTCTTGGAAGAGTTTAAGTGCTTGAGAAAGCTCTGGCATTCAGGTCAGCTGGGAGGACATTGAAGGATTCAGATCTACAGGAACAGTAAAGAGAGAAGATGAAAAGATTGAAAGAGATTAGATTTGCCCAGTTATGTGCTTTCCTTTCCTCTTTGTATCTCTGACTTTCTCTTGCTACTTCTCGGTTTCTTTTTCTTTTTATTGATCTCTCATTGTCACTCTTGGGTGCAAATTCAAGCTTTTGCGCTACTTTTTTGGCCCAATATTTCAGCACGAAAACCTGCAGCTTATTCGCTATGCACATAATTCAGATTAACCAGCCACAAAATGCACTGGCTAATGGGCCCGATAACACCAACACAAAACAAAAATACTGTCTGATTTTCACATGTGATTTGCCAGTTCAGACCAATGGTTGAAAAGGAAGTCAAAGGGTATTTGTTCAGATTTTTATATTCACTATGGTGTTTACTAAAAAACTAAACACGAGTAAGAAAGTCTGTTTACGCATTCGTCCTCTGCTATCCACTGTCGCTCAGCACAATTGTATGTGAGCACCACCAAATCATAGATTTTAATTAACAGCAAGTGACTAAAAGCGTGAATCTTTTTGGGAGGCCGTCTTTATTTTGAAAAAGAAATGAAAAATAATTCATAAAAAATCTGATGAATTGATGGCACGTGAATTAACAGACATTCTTTCAAAGAAAATGTTTATCATAAATAATTTTTGCACTGAAAATTCATCTTGTTGTACACAGGCCGTTCTGATATTAACACCAATGAACAGTAAAGTGATTTGTGTGTACATTTCCTATTAATCATGGTAGGAGTAACTCATCATAATGGAGAAGAGTGTTATAACTGGGCATATCAAGCATATAATCAACATTTTTAAAGAGCCAATTCAGGTGACTGGATCAAAGTGGTGGA